TAGATACAAAGAGATTATATATAGGCTAAACAAAGGAAACCGAAAAGATTGTTCTACCCTTCATAAATAATAAAACAAAATAGCCATATATTTCTTAACAAGATCCTCCCCGCGAATTTGACATAAATGTTTCTTTGGTTTGTGATCTAAATGAGATGATACCAGTTCCAGAAGAGTCCTCGAGAGATGAACAGAGAAATGCAGGTCAAGCTGTTGAAGTAGATAACAGAGAAATGCGGGATTTTGTTAGCACTCCAACAAATGAATCACCAAGCGCAATCTGCAATGTACTGGGGAAATTAGACGAGGATTTTAAAAATGCATAAAGGTTATTTGTCAACTGGAATGTGAAGGGGGCATATCAAAAAGGATTTAGGTTGAAGATGCTCACACGGTTTAGCTTAAGATCGACAGAGGCTCAGCGTCAAATAGTCTGTACTTACACACTTACTATAACAGATGATCCAAGCAGTTTAGCAGGACAATTGTTGGGCACATTTTCAGATGTCATATCGAGTGGCAGACAATAAAATGACTTCTAAATGTAAGCTGTGGCATTAAATGGTGGAAAAAGAATGCATCAGTCAGTTAAAAGATTATTATTCCACTAACACAATATTCATCTTGTTCCGTTTTTACAGGATTTTTCTTCAAAGTCATATTTATCAAATTTCTATTGTGAAGACGAGTCATTTTTCCATCCCTAGAAGAGCCAAATTTATGGACATTTGTGAATCATTTTCATAATTAGAACCTTTTCAGTTGAATTTGAAGTACCTAAAAACTTGTCATTTTCCATTAAATACTTCTGGTAGTGTATCTTTCTGTTGATTGTAGAATTGAGGCAGGATTTTAGTTTTAAACTTTTCATAGGTTCAATACATTGATATGGTTCCATATATTCTGAAATCTTGCAATATTCTCTTGTCTGAATATTTTCAATGATTATGTGGACTAATGTAGTTAACATAAATGGCTGCTTCATGGTGTGAAAAAATTGCTTTGAACGCTGGTGAGAAAATGTCAGCGGAGATCACTATCTCTGAGTTGCTGATAGCACGTTCCTCGGCCGGGAATGTCTTCGTTTGAAATAAATATGAGTGCATTAGATTGTGCTTGAAAGTAGCTAGAAAGTTACTTTTCTGAAAGTATCTACGTAACTTTTGAGTTACTTTCAAACACAATCACCTCATAAAATGATTGACTGAATGATTACTTCAATTTAAGACCGGATAACCAAAATCAAATCATGTTTTTTGCTTCAGTTTAATAACTTCACCTTGGAAATGGATTGAGGTTTCACTTTTGAATTTTACGATTCAAAACATAAACATCTATCCCAGAACAATCCTCCGAAATAGAACAATACGGATGGATTCTCTGAGAACTCATGAAATAATCAAGTAATTGTTTAGCCATTGATGAATTTCATGCCATGGAACAAATTGACGAATTGATGATGCTACCAATGCCGGCAGAAGCTCCCATTTAAACAATTGTAGCAAATCCGGCACCCATTGGCTTTGCACCTTATATCTATTAATGTCTATGGATATTTTGTAAGTATTTTCCATTTCTCCCCTTGTATTCTTTAGGATAGTAATAATTACAAACTCATCAACATCTATTAATTTATGAATCAATCTTCTTCCGTGAAAGCTATTTATGAAAGCCTTTTACTGAACTGGAAAAGGAGCATGCATGTTGCACGTTCCTAACTA